GGCGCTGCCCGTTCTCCAGCCGGGCAGGGGCTCAGGCAGGACCCTCCTGACGCGGCTCCCCTCCCCGTAGGGCCCCTGGCAGCGGCGGAGCCAGCCATGATCGCCGAGTGCAAGACGCGCACCGAGGTGTTCGAGATCTCGCGGCGCCTGCTGGACCGCACCAACGCCAACTTCCTGGTGTGGCCGCCGTGCGTGGAGGTGCAGCGCTGCTCTGGCTGTTGCAACAGCCGCAACGTGCGCTGCCGGCCTGCGCAGGTGCAGCTGCGGCCCGTGCAGGTGCGTCCCGTCCGGCCACCTCCCCGTCTGGAGCGCAGAGGGGCACGGAACAGTGTCAGGACCCGTGTGCCCAGGCCTGAGCCCCAGCGGGGCTGCTCGTGGGACGTTAAGAAATGGACGCTTTCTCCTACTTTATAAAATCCCATGGTGTTCCTCAGACATGTCCACAAACATTTGATACTTTCCCCTTTTCAGGGGTCTCAGAAAGGCTCGGGCAGGGGTCCTGCGCTCTGACTACTTCTCTTATCCCTTCGGCAAGCTGTGTCTTTAACAGGGAAGGCGAGAAAACACCCCAGGTGACAGACACTGGTCCCAAGCAGTGTGCAGAATCCACTGTCCCCGAGGGCTCTGGCCTCAGGCTGGGCAGGGCCGGGCCCAGGAGCCTCACCAGCCTTCTGATGGGTGTGGACAGGCTCTGCACCCCTGGTCAGGCCTCCCCTGTGCACCTGCCAGGTGTTCACCACGGCCTGGTGCTGGCTCCGCCTGGCCACACCCCCTTCCCCTGGGCTACCGGGTGGCCTGTGCCCAGTCCCTGCCATCCTGGCCTGGGCCTAGTGCCCGAGATTAGGAATGTCAGGCTCCACCCACAGCTGCCACAGTGTCCCCGGCCCCAGCCCTTCGAGCTCTGGACACACAGACACACACCTGCCTGCCGCCCTCCCCCTTCCCGCCTCCCCCCGCCCCGCTTCCTTCCAGACGACCATCTCCTGCCTCTGCCAGCCCTGGCCTTGGCTGGTGCCCCAGGACTGAGGACAGCCCGGAAATGCCTTTCTCCCTCTCTGGGGGACGGGGGCTGAGGCCGGCCGCAGGGCTTGTTTTGATGGAAAAGCTCCCGGGGGCAGAGGGCAAGTCCCTGCCATTGTTCAGGCCAAAACATGGGTCCTGCAGGTTCCTCCCTGGGCTTTCGAGGAAAGCTGGGCTCCAGGGACAGGTGGGAACAGCCGGCCGTGCGCCTCCCTGGCACCCCATTCCCGGGCTCCAGGGCTGACCTGATCCTGTCCTCCAGGTGAGAAAAATCGAGATCGTGCGGAAGAAGCCAACCTTTAAGAAGGCCACGGTGACCCTGGAGGACCACCTGGCCTGCAAGTGTGAGACGGTGGTGTCTGCGCGGCCTGTGACCCGGAGCCCCGCGGGTTCCCAGGAGCAGCGAGGTACCCACCCTCCCAGGGCCTGCTCCCAGTCTGCAGCTGTAGCCTACCTCCCCTGTAGCAGCTGGGAGCCGGTGCCTCTTAAGCGTGGAAATCAGATCAGGCACCATTGTCCTGGAGAACAATCTAGATTCCTCCCAGCCTGAAAGGCCCTATATGAGGAGGTAGCCCCTAGCTGGTCCTCTGGCCTTGCCAGTGTCCAGTACTGTTCACCCTAGCAGGGCTGGGACCTTCAAGTGCCTGGGCCTTTGCTCATGCTAGTGCTGGGACTACACTTCCCCTGGCTCTTCAGGAGCCCTGCTCCTTCCCTTCAATTGGGTCTCAGCTTAGAAGCCTCCTCCTAGAGGTCTGCCCTGGCCACCAGCTGCCTTGTGAGGTAGTGAACCCTCTTGGACACTAGAGGTCTGGGTGAGGCGGGGAGAGGCTCAGTGATGGTCCCTGGGCCTCTTCAGCTGGGGACCAGGGGGGCTGGGACCGGACCCCAGGATGCCTGGCCCCAGGGCACCTCCTGTCCCTCCCTCCACCCAGAGGACCACCTGGTGGAGAGGGCAGACCCCCCGAAGGCCGTGCTCATGGCTCTTCCCTTCTCTTGAGCAGCCAGGACACCCCAGACTCGGGTGACCATTCGGACCGTGCGAGTCCGCCGGCCGCCCAAGGGGAAGCACCGGAAGTTCAAGCACACACACGACAAGACGGCGCTGAAGGAGACCCTCGGGGCCTAGGGCATCGGCAGGAGTGTGGGCAGGTGAGGCCCGGGGCGGGCGGGTGGACCTGGGGAGGCCTTGTCCCTGCAGAGCACCCCGGAGGCTCACCCTCCTCTGTTCTGTCACCAGTGGCCCGTCCACAGGGCGCAGGGTGGGGGACTTCGGAGCCTTCAGCTCTAGACCCCGAGTCCCCCCACCGGCCCCAGTTTCCCGGCCTGGAGTGCTGCTGGGATCGGGGTTGACGGCAGGTCCTCTGGCCTTGCCGAGAGCAGGGTGGACCCTGGCCATCCTGACCATGTCCCTCTGCTTGGCCCGCAGGTTATTTAACGTGGTATTTGCTGTATTGCCCCCATGGGGTCCTTGGAGTGATAATGTCGTCCCCCTCGTCCGTCTGTCTCGATGCCTGATGCGGACGGCCAATGGTGCTGCCCCCGCCCTCCACGTGTCCATCCACCCTCCTCCTGGCGGCGCCCTGCCCAGCAGCTCCAGAAGGAAACCAGGGCCGAGTCACCGCTGCCCCCTCCCCGGCCCCGAGGACCTGGGCAGGAGTGCGAGAGACAGAGGGGACAGGGTCTCCCACACCACCCCACGCGTGGCCCACCCCCGCCCAGTGCTGGGGACTGGCCCGAGGAACTCCGCCTGTGGCCCTCAGGACCCGGTCCCTGGACCCCAGGCCAGCTCCCGGAGACACCTCTAGGTGACCTGGATCTCTCCAACTCCTGCGGCCAGGACCACGCTTCAGGGGCACAGACTGGAGACCTGCCGCCCTGTCCCCTCCGGGCCACCTCTGCTCACAGCGGCTTCCTTTCTCTTTATATGTATGAATCTCCAAAGACGGGGACTCCTGGGCCGGTGGCTGAGTGCCCTCTGGCAGGTTAGATGAGGCTCACTCCTCAGGTGAGCCTAGACAGCCACCTGAGCGTCCCCTGCTCTTCCCGTCTCGCCCCTCCCCCAGTGCCACCCAATTCACTTCCGCTTCTGTTTCATCTCTCTACCTCCACCCTGGGTGTTCCTCTTGTCCTGGCCCTTCAGTCTGTTCTACCAAGGGGTTCTTGGACCCCGGATTGAGGCCCCAGATGACCCCGATCACTCTTCTCCAAGGCAGAAGGCCAGGGGCCAGGGCAGCAGGAGACCTGCCCATCTTATTCCAACCCAGCCAAGACTGCCATTTAAGGTTATTCAGGGTGTGTACTGCACAAGGGCACTGCATGCAAGGGAGCATTCTGCACACCCTAGATATAGCCGATTTGTCTATTTATTATGACAGTTTCTGGAAGATGTAGGCCAAGCATCCGAGGAAAAGAATCCTGTCTCTAATTCACACACAGGCTCTGTGTGGACTGCCCCTGTTCTGACCCAAGCTGTGGCTTGGAGTAGTCAGACAGGAGTGAGCCCTTGGTATGGTGACACAGAGGCCTGGGCTCTGCTGTCCCCGCTGTCCCCTCCAGGTCTGCGGGAAGCACCCAGGGAGTTCGCCCGCCCCACCCCCTCCCTTTGAGATGCACCTGGAGGCCCTGGGGGGGGGTGCGCTCCCTCCCCTGCCTCCCACCGCACCCCCAGCCTGCTTCCTTCAGTTTGTAAAGTCGGTGATTATATTTTTGGGGGCTTTCCTTTTATTTTTTAAATGTAAAATTTATTTATATTCCGTATTTAAAGTTGTAAAAAAAAAGAAATAACCACAAAACGAAAACCCAGCGACTTCTCTGGCGGTCTGTGCTGGCGTCGCATCGCGCGCGACTGTCAACATTTCTGCGTTGGCAGGAGGTGGCCGCAGCTTGCGCCCCAGGCTCGCGCGATTGCGATCGCAGCTGCGGCCCGGGCTCGCGCTGGGCGGGAGGGCGCGCGCTCCCGCCGTGGCTCTGGAGGCCCGAAGCTCAGACCCTGACCCTGACCCTGACCTGGACCCTTCCCGGGAGATGGGCTGCAGGGCGCAGTCCGGGAGGCTGGAGGAGGAAGCACAACTGAGCTTCTCCCCCGCCAGGTGTGGCAAGGCACAGCGCCACCTGGCCACAACCCGCCCAGAAACGTGAGGGGAGGAGACTGGCCATCCCCAAGCGCCAGCCTCCTGGCCTTCTCTTTTTCATTGGTTTGATTATTTTTTGGATGCGGGGGTGCAAGCCAGGGCCTCCCCACGCTGCCCCTGAGCTGCGCCCTGGCCCCCGTGCTTTCCCTTGCTCCTGAAGTTGGGAACAGCACACGGAAAGATGCTGAATGTGTTCCAGTCCCACGTGCTGTCTACCCTGAAGCTGACAATCTAAAACTGAAGCCATCTTGCTCCTGGAAGTAGTGAGCTCCCTGTCACGGGGAGTGTGTAAGAGGACTCTCAGAGGCCACGTGGCTGATGTTTACTGAATAACATTGGGGCTCCCCAACATTGGTTGGTCCATGGATTCATTCATTTGCTCTCCTTTAGGAATGCTCCCAGAGTCCATCCTGGGGTTCCCGCCCTGCGCTCATGTCTGCAGGACCCTTTCCTCTGCCCCAAGCAACCAGAGTTCTGGGTTCCCAGGCAGCAGAAAAGGCTCTGGTCGGGAGGAGGAGACGGCTGGGAGGGGATGGCTAGGGCCGGAGACCTGTGAGCCTGGGACCCCGCAGCTGGGCCGCCCACCTGCCCCTGGCTACGGAGCTTCCCAGGCATCTATGTCTGCTTCCCTCCCTGTTGGTGTGCGTTCCCAGGCGGCAGCCATGCCAAGTCTATGGGCCTTCTAGGGGCCTGGGGGTCAATCCCCAGGCTAAAATGGCATTCTTCTAGAAACCTCTTCTGGGAAAAAGACTTTCTGTTCTTCAGATCTGCTCTGTTAGCTGTGATTCAGTTGTGATGTCTGGTGCATAAGCTGTTACCTTGACCCATGAGGTCAAAGCCAAATGCTGAGGAGGGAGGGAGGGAGTCTCAGCTCCCACCTGGACTCCACGGCTCAGGAGCTATTACAGAAAGACATTCCTGTGTGAGCTACTCTTTACTTTGGGTTTTCTGCCCCTGGCACTGCCCTCAAATACTAATACCTTGCCCTGACAAGCCTTCCTGTCTCAGCCCAAAGCCCACTGTCCCTTTTCTCAACCAGAGCATGGAGCGGTCACCTTCTTTGGAGGCTTAGCATTTGCCACCTCCATAAAGTAACGTAATGAACATTTCCTGCTTATGAAGTGCCATAGGCGTCAGCCCCAAGCAAGCGTGCTGTCCGCGATGGAGGAGACATGGTGGGCAAAGCCACGGGAGCAGGCCCAGAGGACCCGCCTGGACCCTCTGTGGACACTGTGTCTGGTGTTGCCACAGTTAAGGCGTCAGCCCAGGAACCCCAAACCCCAACATCTGCAGCAATCCTGGTCGCAGCCCCAGTTCAGCCAAGGTTCCTGCGGGGTTGTGGAGAAGTCTCCATTCCTCCTTCCTCGGCCTGCTCCCGGCTGCCCTCCCGCTGGGCCTCCACACAAATAGCCCTTCTGAGAGGCTGCCCGGCCCAGGGCATGGCCCCCAGCCTCAGACCCACTCCGCTTTCCTACCTGCTTGATTATCTGCATGGCTAATGTCCACGTCTGCGTCACCACATGTGTGCTGCTCCCCACAACCAAGAAAAAGAAAAAAAAAATTCCAGGTGGACTTACTAGTTCACTACTCTGTCCCCAGAGCCTGGAGCATGTCTGGCACACAGTGGGCCCTCAACAAACCCTGTTGAATGAATGAGAGGTGTGGTTGGAGGAAAGGCAAGCGACCACCCCCAGTCACAGCAGCTGGACGGCTCCAGCCACACCCCGCAGTGACTGGGAATGGCCCACTGTGAGGGTGTTGCTGGCTGTAGATCAGATATTTCAACCCGCTCCTCCGTGCTCAGGGAAGCATCGTCCTTGATTTGAACACCCTCAGAGGTCGGTCATGTTGAATTTGCCTTTGCTCTATTTAGCCTTCAACTCTCTCCAGGTCTACAGTTACCCATCCAACCATCCATCACCCACCCACCTGGCTACCTGCCCACTCACCTTCCCACCTGTCCATCCACCCACTATCACTTACCTTTCCATCCATTCGCCCTTCCATCCAGCCATCCTTGCACCCATCTACCCATCCATCCACCCCCACACCCCATTCGCCCATCCATTTACTCATCCACCCCCATCCACCCCATCCATCTACTCATCCACCCCCCATCCACCCCATCCATCTACTCACCCACCGATCCACCCATCCATCTACCTATCCATCCACCCATCCTTCTACCTATCCATCTACCCATCCACCCCCCATCCATCCACCCCATCCCCTCATTCACCCATCCTTCTACTGTTATGCTCAAATTCGGGACCCCCAAAAGACCACCAGAGACCAAGATGGATGTAAGCAGCAAAGAGGTGTTTATTGGGAGCTAGCTCAGTCCTCTGTGCACACAGCAACTGGTGACGCTGAGAGGCCCGAGCCCAGGGTTTTATACACTCTTTGGGGAAGGCAGGGACCCCACATACATCTCTTAGCAAATCATCACACAGCTCAGGAAAATCATAAAACAACTCTAAATCATGATTAGCACATTCACTGGCGGGAACAAAAGTTGGGTAGGGGTGATTGGTTAGTACAAGAGGGGGATTCATTTGAACTGATTGGTTTAAACCGAGAGAGGTGTTCGTTCGGAACTACATGGTTTCCCAACATGTTCTCAACCACCATAAACTCCTGGGAGGGTCATCTAGCATCCCAGGCATTTTCCCTGTCTCATGCTGATTGGTGGCTGCTAGGGGGTTGCTATGGGTCCCCACCTATCCTAACTGAGTCAGGGACACCTGGCACGAAGACCTCTCCTGTTATTTGTAGATAAACAACTCAGCAGGGTGGGTATGTGCCTAGGAGTGCTCTGTGGGCCTTCCCAAGGACAAGGGCCAGGCCCCCTTCCTTGGAAGGCTTTGCTCTGAGATAGAGGCTGGTTTTTCACTACCCATCCACCCACCCATCCACCTATCCATCCATCTGCTCATCCACCTACCCACCCATCCACTGATCCACCTCCCTTCTTCCTATCACCTTCACCATGTCCCAGGCTCTGCACATGCCACCTCAGTTTAGGTAGGGCCAGTACAGGTTTAGCACACAACACCAGGTCCGCAGGGGACGTGGCTCGCCTGCTACAGGCCCTCATGGAGCGCTTGCGCAGTTTAGAGACCTGCCAAAGGCGGACCTGCTCCAGGTGCTCAATGACGGCCCCGCAGTGGTTCTCACCTCTCCTCCCAGCAGCCAGCAATTGGCCCAGCCGCAGGAC